TATGTCAGACGGCCGCTCCCTGATTATAATCAGTCAAGACAATAAACCGGTGATTTGCAACTTCTCCCCGTGTCAGCTGTGAATCTCTTCTCATCCACGGACCCGGTGGAGACGCCGTTGCTCCAACAATTTGGGGGCTCGTCCGGGATCCCCAGGAGATTCGCAAGATTCGGCTAAGAGGTGACGCGGCCTACTTGGACACAGAGAACTGCGAGGCGCCGACTAGAAGAGGTATGCAGAGCCTGTTATATCAAAATCTGCACATTGGATATGTCAAATTGAGCAGTTTGAAGTGTCCTGGGGCCCGTCAGTAAATTAAGACGGAGGAGAGGTTGCACGCACTGTGTTTATATAATATATTGGGTATGTCTGTGTATTGTGTATGCATTGTGTCCAGGTATTGTGCGCAGAGAAATAGAACCTTAAGGAGTGGAGGGCACGGGACCCCCGCAGGGAAATAGAATTTTAAGGAGCGGAAGGTACGGGAACCCCGCAGGGAAGTAGGACCTTAGGGAGCGGAGGGTACGAGACCCCCGCATTGTATTTGGTGTGGCAACCCCACTATTTGCTGACGAGCGGTAGAAAAGCTGGGTNGGGGGGGGATGCCCAAAGGGCTTTAAAAGGGATACAGCTGATACATATGGCAGAGCCTCCTCCTGTACATGCTGAATGTATGTCAGACGGCCGCTCCCTGATTATAATCAGTCAAGACAATAAACCGATGATTTGCTACTTCTCCCCGTGTCAGCTGTGAATCTCTTCTCATCCACGGACCCGGTGGAGACGCCGTGCTCCAACACCAGGTAGCACACCATAGGAGAAGTAGGGGAAATAAAATGTGCAATTAGCAAAAGTAGGGAAGACTAAAGGCAGTACAAATGGTTAGGTAAGTGCAGTATGTACTGTAAGCGCTGGCAGATAAGGCTATGGCAGCATAATTAGGAGGGAGAGGCAGGTGGGAATGCAGGCATGGGCAGTCCCTGAAACGTCAACACTCCAATTCCACAAGGGAGTGTGAAACTAGAGTGACAGCACTGACAGTTCAGTTCATCCAAAGCCAATAGCACCGATCCCCACCCAGCTCTACACCTCACACTACAGGTCTAACTGGGAGAGAGCAATTAACTAGAGCTAGAACTAGAGTCCCTATAAGCTAGACTAAACAAGTGTGTTTTTAGCCTAGAATTGAATATTTTGAGACTGAACATATGAGCTGTTTGGAAATTATTTAAAATGAAATGAAAGGTTATTCATCTCCTTTCCCCTTCAACAAAATCCCCCTAAGATGTTAACTGAATGTTTTGGGTATGAATGCTAGGATTCTGTGTAACATCACGACTGCAGCCCTATCGTCACTTACACCCAAGAAGGAATACTGTTGGTCTCTATTTATAATCTTTAGGAGAGCCTTCATTTTAATACATGATAAAAGTATATTGATATAAATGGTATTGTGTTATCATTTAGAAAATATACTGATCACTGGAAACTTCCATTGTGTTGTGGCTCACTTTCATCGTGTGTGCTGCAAGTTGATTCGCAGAATTTGTTGTGTTGCATATGTTTTCAGAATTTGTAGCACCTTGACACTTAGACCACCGTAGTGACCCCTACCTATCCACTACTGTCACGACAGTGTGGCATGGCGCAGGCAGGAAAAAGGTGCCAATGCACTAGTGGCTCTGAGACACAAGGGGGTTAATTATAAACTATAAACTATAAGCACTGGGTAAAGCTACAAATACAAGGGCCACTAGGGGTCAAAAACAAAGCAAAATGGGGAAAACAACAAACTACAAGAAAAACAAGGTCCAGGAACAATTACAAATAAGGAAGAAGCTAATCTCGAACTCATGAGCAAAAGGCATATAATCACATGCTTATCCCATAGAGCAGTGTTTCTCAACCTAGTTCTCGGGGAAACACGGACAGTCCATGTTTTTGCTTCCTCCCAGCGCATCTGTACCAGGTATTCGGTGTTCCAGATTGACTGGAAGCTGGGAGGGAGCAAAACCATGGACTGTCTGGGGTTTCCCGAGGACTGGGTTGCGAAACACTGCCATCGAGGTACTGTATGCAGAAGTCCGGGGGGGGGGACAATAAGGGCTTGAAGGACAACAGGGAGGACAGGATGGCCAGCAACACCTGCTGACCAAATGGGGGGAAACACGAAAGGTTGGGGAGAATGGGTGCTGACCCTGACACACTACAGTTTGTGATTATGTATAAGTAAAACTCCCTGAAATTATTTATTATCGCCTCCAGATTGACCCCTACCTCCTCACTTAAGTCTTTGATGATGTGTAAGTGAAATGCTCTGAAATGGTTTGATATCGCCTCGAGTGGCCATTACCTCCCTAATACAATCTGTGTTGATGTTTAAGTGCAATGGTCTTAAATGGTCTGGTATTGCCTCCATGGTGTCTCCTTGCTCCCCACTACAGTCTGTGAGGATTTGTAAGTGAAATGGTCTGGAATCTCCTCCAGGGTGACTTCTAGCTCCTTTCTACCATAACCGTGCGTTAGATAGGCAGTTAAGGAATGTGGGTAGATGGAATATAAATTCTAATGAATATACTTGGAGTAACTCAGTATAAAGCTTAATAAGACAGGATATTCATTTTGTGACATTTTATTAATACTCCTCTCATGCAAATTGCAGGTTTCATCAGAGCTTTTGCTTTTTCCAAGGCACTGGACCTGGAATCTGTGGGATGTCTCTACACTTTGCTCTTGTGACAGTGTTTAAGTGCATCCCTCAGTGCCATTAGCACCATGTCAGCATTGGCTTGGTTGCAGTTGTACCCCATCAGGCCTATACGCAGCACCTGGTGCACAGGGTATAGAAGATCAGTGGGGTCTGGTGAGGACACTTGCATAACACAACACTTCATATTTGCAATTTTAGTTCCTAAAAAATACTTGTCTCAGAGTAAGAAAAAATCTGTGATCAATTTTTTTACTTAGTTAAAATAAAATGATGCACACTGACGTACCATGCCAGAGGAGGACCCCAATCCTCCAGAGATCTCTATGTTGTGGTGCTTCATGATATAGCCTATGATTTCCCTCCAGTCATACCCTGGTGGAACTGCAATGGTGGTTATTGTTGGCAGCCTAAGGGACTGTCAAACACAAGCAATTTTAGCATTTGGCAATTTTATTATCTGAATATACACCAAATGTACACCTGAAAGTAATTACATTGCATGAATAATTCATAGCTACATTGATCTTGTAGGATTTATTCATTTTTCACCTTTTCTTGTACAAATAACTTGAGACCCAAACTTTCCAACCCTTTATGCAGATGCTCTGCAATCTTGTTGTGCTGAGTCCAGGATTTTTCTAGGCCCTACAGAACCACAAAGACACAACCTGTACCAATAATGCCAATAGTTTAAATACAACTTTCTAACCATGCAGCCATCAATCTTTAAGAGCTGCTAATCTGACAGGGTCATGGTTACCCAGAAATTATAAAGTAAAAGACATAAGGCAAGATTTTGTGAAAAAGTACCAACAAAGTACCAACAAATTCTTGTGGAAGAAACAGTTACGCAGATAATTCTTTTAACAAAATAAATCTGAAAAAAATCAACCACTTTAGATATTTGTTACTGAGATAACGATGGCCTTTGTGTTTAGACAAATACATCCATTGTAAAGCAAAACTTTTAGTAAATTTAGGCAATTAGTTTGTTGGACCAAAAGACAAAATACACTGCAGTTTAGAAATGTCTTATTTGCAAAGTTCTGTAGTTAGTTTGACTAATTTCTAACCCAGAACCCTTGGGATTTGAGGCAATAGTAACACAAATTGACACACCATGCTGTTAATTTTAATAATTGTCTAATTTGTGCATTTATATTGTATGATAATTTAAGAAATAATATGCATGAAATATAAGGTGAAGCTAAAGATCACGGAGATGGCCTCACCATTTCGGAAAGGGCGGCAAGGCTTTCTCTCAAGGCAAAAAGCCCAGATATAGGTCCTGTGTGGTGGTACCTAAAAGCAAAACCATTATAGTTTTAGCATGAGCCATCACATGATAATAACTCTAAATAGAAGAAAGTGTGATTAAAGTATTTATGGGAAATATATTACTAAATAATAAATTATTATAATAATTTGCTTATCTGGTAGTGCTCACATTCTTGCTGGTTTGCCATCACAACCCCAATAGTTTGCTAGCCAACTCATGTCGAGGAGAAAAGACACTGGCTTTGTCTTTCTGTTGAAAATTTTTTTGCTACAAAAACATCAGGTTAAGAGAGCAGATCAAAACAACGATCAGACTAATAGAAAACTCTGCATTTCCACTTTTCCCTTTTCTCACCAAGCTCCCTCACTAAAGGAAATGGGTGCAGTCCCAGGTGGCGAGCTTAGAACCTTCTGGGAGGCAGTATACAGTACGTCAATGCCTGTGAAAATGAACACATATGTCTAGTGGATAAAAGTGAATTTGCATCCTCATGCTATAGAAGCTTCCTGAATATACCTTGCTTGTCCATGACGATAGGTGAGCCACCCAACGATGCAACGGCATCCACTAGAAACAAACAGTTTTGGCTGGTGGAGAGCAAAAAATGGATGTTAATTTTTATGTTAATTTGTGATGTGTGATTTTACTTAGTTAATGATTATGAGAGATTTCACCAGAGATTTTGACTAACTTGTGACACAGTTCTCCAATACCATCTAAGGGATGGACAACTCCAGAAGAAGATTCTCCATGTGTGAGAAAGAATAGCACTGGTTTGTGTTCATATAAAGCCTGGAAGATAAACAGCCAGTTACTCTATTACATTTACTTTTCAAAGAAATAGTTTAGAAATAAAACCATACCCAGCATTGCTATATGGGGTAATGCAAGGTCCACGTGTATTCTATTTGCCTTGAAACACACACGGGCACATATAAGTAACAGGGTAGGCTGGAGAACCCAGGGCTTGATAAATTTAGTCACGTATAGTTTGAAAAGAAATGGGTGGCTAAAAGTTTCCCCCCTCTAGGAGGTTTGTGCTAACCCTTAACACCCCTGAGCTGGAACGGGAATCCTGTGCTGAGGGCAGCAGAGCCATGAAGGGATTCAGTGGCCACTCCAGATTATGGAAGGGGAGAATCTCTATACTGTCCAGTTACGCAAATAAATTAAATGAAAGCAATAGCCCCATACAAGAAAACTACCCTTATTATCGTATTAAAAGATATTACCTGTTCAATTTCTTCATTTGTGAAATAACCACCAGGAAGCTTGACAATGGTGTTAACTCTTGCTCCTGTTTAAAAGAAAATGATTCAAATGGAATATTATAGATATTTTTTTAAAAAAAAGGAAGATGCAATGTTAATCTATAGAAAAACTAACTAGTATAGTTTAAAGATAGAATTCAGATTGTAAAAGTTATATACCAATTCTGTCTGCAATTTCTGCTGCCCTCTCTCCCCATATGCCATTTACAGCAATAAGGACACTGTCCCCTGGTTCAACAGTGTTAAAAAGAGCACATTCCATGGCAGTGTGACCAGACCCACTTATGGCAATAGTCATGCTGTTCTGGGTTTGAAATGCATACTGAATCCCTTTTTTAATGTCATCCATAATCTGAAAGAAATTCAGAGTGACCATATAAGACATTGTCTTTAATCCATTCAAATATTATTCATTTTAAACATTCAAAGCATGAAATAACTTACAAGTCATTTAAAATCATGCTTATTATGTAGTTTCATAAAGTACTTTTCACATTATGGAATTATGGAAATGCTGTATTTGATAAGCAAGCAGATCCAGAATAAAAATTCATGTGAAATACAAAATTTTATCATTAGATATTTTTTAAAGGTTTGTATTTTGTTACTAATGTATCACCTAACAAGTATAGATGTAATAGAACATACCTACTTACATATAAACAAATGTACAAAATCTGGTGGTTTTTAGCTATTATTAAACGCTTTGTACCTCCAGCATTTCTCTGTGAAGATGCCCTATCATTTGTCTTGCCCCAGAAGCCTGGACTCGCGGTGACACGTTGGATGGTCCGGGTCCAAAGAGGTAGCGGTGGGGTACTTCAAGTGGCCTGAGAAGGCATGCTGGTGGAGGAATGAAGAGAGAGGACATTGTTCCGTGGGGTGCAAAGCCAGGGAATTCAAATAGAACAGAGGGCAGAAAACTGGTCAGGTTAGTATGCTGCGCCAGAACCTCCTACAGGCGCACACACACGCACATGCGCACACCCACACACAAACACACACGCACACACAGGCTTGTAATTATATCTTTGTGGGGACTCTCCATTCATTTCTATGGGGAAAACCCTAATCTGAACACGACGACCTTAACCCCAACCTAGCCCTAACCTTAACCATAAGTAACCAAACAAAATATCAGACTTTTGACATTTTTAGTTTTTTTATTGCAGTCACAGATCTTTGTGGGGACCTGAAAAAATGGTCCCCACAACATCAAAATAACTGGTTTTTATCACATTGTGGGGGGCATTTGGTCCCCACAATGTAATATAAACATAATACACACACACACACGCACATACACACACACACACACTTATCATTAGTCTTGGTGTGGTGCTTGTAGAGGACTGATCATATTAACTGTTCTTATAATGAAAATAAAACAGTATGATTAGAGCTGGGCGGTATTTATATTTATATTTAATATCGGTTTCACGGTATACGACTGTATTTTTATAAAAAGTATGATTGGGTGTTTACCACATTTTACAAGATTTTATATGATACATTTTTGTTATACGTTTTTGCATTGTTCCCACATTAACTATACACTCACCTAAAAGATTATTAGGAACACCATACTAATACGGTGTTTGACCCCCTTTCGCCTTCAGAACTGCCTTAATTCTACGTGGCATTGATTCAACAAGGTGCTGAAAGCATTCTTTAGAAATGTTGGCCCATATTGATAGGATATGTAGGATCACA